GGTGAGAGCTTGGTAAAAGAGAAGCTTTTGTGCTTGTGCTGGGGTCTGGGGTGTCTGAAGGGTTCCCTTCCCTKCTGCAAGGCAAGAAATGGGGATTTGTGTCCATCCAGCTGGATTTCAGCCCTACATCCCTGTCCATGTGCTGCCAGGCCCTGGCCCCTTCACCCCCAGTTTGCATGSAGTAACCTCCTCTGGCTTCCAGCAATTGCCTTCAACACTGATAAAAAAACCCCAAAATTTTGGGTAACTGCTGATTATTGCTCAAGCAGGCTTTTAAGCACCAAACTCGTGTGTGTAGAGCCACAGGGTCTTTGCAATCCTGCCTGATTTGGGCAGTTGTTAGTTAGAAGTAGTTGTTTATTATTTACCTTTCCAAGTTCACTTGGTCTCAGGAAGGAATATGTAAATATTTCTCCTTMACTGAACTCTGTGCCTTCATATGGAATTCCAATCTGTGGCARAGAGTTTTTCATTTCTGCTCTGCTGAGTGTTGGACCAGCATCACCCCTGTAATTGCTGGCATTATGTAAACAAGATAATAATAAGTTCTTAATGGAATATTGTGACATTAATAAGTCATTGCATAGAGCTCRTTTCAATAATATAAATGAAATCAAGTCCCTTACATCAACTCTTTATTTTATTTTTGGTCATTGAATTAAAATCTTTCCTCTCTTTTATTGAAGTGCTTGAATGTTACTGGGAATTTCACATTGAATTGCTACAATCACAAGCCAAGATTGCTTTGGATCTAACAGGCTTTTTAATTTGGTATTAACAAATTGGCACTCAGCACTTCTTTGCRTGTTCTACCTTTTATTTAATAACACAATCAAGAATTCAGGAGGGGTTACTGTCGTATATCCTGGCATTTCTTCATTGTTTTGTGCACGAATTAATAGCTTATCAGCTGCTGAAATCTGTGTAGATGTTTATTTTGCCCGTTTGTGTCTGCCTGCCTGGCTGAGCAGCCACAATGGGCAGTGTACGTGATAGTGTATTCAGGTAAATAAATGAAGCATGGTTTTGGGTGAGTAAACACACCCAGCTATTATCTTCTCTTATAACGGTTTACAGCCTGCTGATGTAAAGCCTGAATGCAGCAGGGCAAGCTGTAAGTCAGGCCTGGTTGCACATTTTGAATCAGTGTAATATTTTTATTGTTACTTCTGATGGAAAAATGGATTTTCCTTTCCGAGAGCCTCTGTGTGTGATGTTGGAAGTGCTGAGGGCATCACGTGCCTTTCCTGACCCCCTGGCAATGCTGYCCTGGGTGCTTTTCCTGCTCTCCCTCTCCTTCCTCCCTCTGAAGATTCCAGTGCTGACCTAATTTATTGGTGCTTTGCCTCACGAGCACAGATCACCCTGGCAATCCGATGGGTGCTGCATATTAACCTCCCACACTGCCCAAAATCACTTTTATTGCAGAGGAAATGCACTTGGTACTGAACAGGAGGTAATTCCATCAGCTTGATTTCACTGACAGCTTTTCATGTGTAAGAGGAATCAGCAGCACACGTTTCAAGTGCTGGGCAGGTATTTTTTTTTTTTAATAGTGCATTCTAATGTTGTTTTGGCTGCCTTCCARCCCAGGATTTTGTTAGATATTTGATATTTTTGGAAAAAATCTTGACCAAATCTCCACCCCCAAATCACAAAGGTACTGTGACCACCTGCTCCCTCCCATGGTGGCTTTGCTAAGGTGGTCTGAAAGGGCACTGAGCTGCAAATTTTAGTTAAATTGTGCTGGAAGGAGGGTGAGATGGTCCTGTCAGATCCTCAGGGGAGGACAAAGGAAGGCTTGTCCTGGAAATGCATCACCAGCTTTAACTGATTCCAGAAAACCAAAGTTTCTCTCTTAAAGTTTCTATCTCAAAGTTTCTATGAAAACCTGTTTTCTTTTGAGTGTTTCCCTTCTTTAATTTGAGATATAATATTCTGGATGATCTAAATCCCAGGGATTTCCTGCTGGACCTGTTGCAAGCCCTGAGCTCCTCACTCCATCAAGGCAGTGCAACAGGAGGTTTTTCTTTCTGCACATTTATTCCTCCTCAGCTGTCGCTGCTGAGATCAAGGCTTGGCTCCTCAGCTGCTATCAGCTGGCCCTGGTTTTAATGAAATACCATCTAATTATATCAGCTCCACAATGCTTTATTCTTCCAGGGTTTGGAACAAAGAGCTGCCTGACCATGAAAGAACAAAATTCTTGTTGTTGCTGCAGCGATGTGGAGGGATCACATTTGCTGGAGGAATTCGAGTGGAGCAGTGATCTTGAAAATAACCCCACCAGAGGGGCTGAGAAATTACCTTCCTAATGGTAAGATGTCATAAA